AGCATTGCTATGTCAGAAAGACTTGGACATGGTACTCGGAGACAAACCGGAGAAAATGGAAAAAGCTTTTGAAGATGCGTGGAACTCAAAGGACAAGAAAGCCAAGACTGTTATTACATTGTCGTTGACGAAGAGCGTTGCTTTCAACATCATGAATGAAACCACGGCGCGTGGTATGATGGAGGCTCTGTCAAATATGTATGAGAAACCATCGGCGGCTAACAAGGTGTTCTTGATGAAGGAGCTGTTCACTACAAGGATGAATGAGGAAGGCTCAGTTACGGTTCACATTAACAATCTAAATTCAATTCTGTCCAGATTATCATCTGTGGGAATTAAATTTGATAATGAGACTCAAGCTTCGCTGCTACTAGCTTCTCTACCTGATAGCTGGTCCGGAACAGTTACTGCTGTTACAAGTTCTGTGGGGACCAGTGGTATGACTTTTGAAGGGGTTAGAGATTTGGTTCTAGGCGAGGATATCAGACGCAAGAATCAAGGTGGATCTTCCTCTTCTGATTTATTAAATATCGGAAGAGGTAGAGGGAATAGCAGGAATAGTGGAAACAGTGGGAGTCGGGGAAGAAGTTCATCTAGAACTAAGAAGAATGTGAAGTGTTGGAACTGTCAAGAAGTGGGACATGTTAAGAGTCAATGTCCAAAGAAAGAATTGAACATTGCTGGTGCTGAGAGTGTGTCTGAGGATGATGCATTGTTACTCAGTATGGAAAGTTCTGTAGACTCTTGGGTCATGGATTCAGGGGCTTCGTTTCACGCCATGGACAACGGGGAAACGATGGTGAATTTAAAAGAAGGAGATTTTGGAAAGGTACGTTTGGCAAATGACGAGATGCTTCAGGTAACGGGCATGGGAGATATTGATCTAGTTACTTCATTAGGAACTACATGGAGCCTGAAGAATGTCAGGGTTATTCCGGAGCTGAAGAAAAAATTGATTTCTGTTGGTCAGCTGGATAAACAAGGACTGGAAGTAAGGTTTGGTGGTGGTAAATGGATGGTGGTCAATGGTAATTCGGTGATTGCTCAAGGTTTGAAGCGTGGGTCATTGTATATGGTTGAGGTACCTGATGAGGGAATTATGACCGTCCATGTTAAGCAAGACAAAATCTGGTTCGCTAAATCTACGGCTAAGAGAGTTCATTTTGCAAACATGAATTCTGGAGCCAAAGAGATGTTAGCTGAACGAGTTCAAAAGTCTAAACCATTTAGGGGATTCTGTGACAGTGGGAGCACGGGACGTGTTTCGGGTACAGTTACAAAGAGCCGTTGGGTTTTGAAGACTAAGACTGAAAATTTCTCTCCTGTTGGATGTTTGCTATGTTTGGAGAGTGTTAGTGGTCCTCGGTGCATCTCTGGATCAGGTGGAGTGTCCAAACCAGTTGAGACAGAGGATGAGTCGGTGGTGGGATTAGCCACGGCTGAGTTGGAGCTAGTGGGAGCTTCAACTGGCCATTCTAGTAATTGAGGATGAGGGGCGGCTGCAACTAGAGAAATCAGACTAAGTTTTAGCTTGTTCTTTGGAACTGGAAGCTTGAAGGACTTGGTTGTTTTTTAAGATTACTGGAGTAATTGAGAGTTGGATGGCGGAGAAAGACTAATTTGTTCAAGTCTCCAAGTGGGAGATTGTTAAGATTTATGGAGTCATGAACAAATTGACAAGTTCCTAAGAGTTCAAGGGTCATAAATGAAACTTGGAAATTAAAACAATTGAATTGTTGAATGGAGGGTGGAATCAATTGTTTAATATTTATTGTCACTATCTCTAATGTGAACGCAACAATTGAACATTTGAATTGGACGCGAACTTTCGGTGGAATAATCAATGGACGGCTAAAGAAAAATCTACGCATTTTTCAATCTTTGCGGCAATCTTGTGCATATTGCGGCTCACAAATATACCTATATATATGCATGTATGTTTTGCATATTTTGTGTGCAAAAACTTGAGAGAACATCAAGTGTAGAGTGTCAAGCCAATTGTAATCTTGTGAGTTTTAATAAAATTCTCTAGTTGCAGCCCGTGGACGTAGGATTTGCACCGAATCCGAACCACGTAAAATCCTTGTGTTCTTCTTGCTTTATTTTCGTGAGTTTGTGTGTGTGATAGTGTGTTTCCGCTGCGTGTACCCGGTCCGGTTCCTAACATAAAACCAGTTGCGCCAATGATCATGGCTCAACGGTTTCTTCAGTAACTCCACCACGCAAACAGAAATCTACTGCTCCTTCGATCTTAGGTTCGAGTGATGTTAAGGTTTGTGAGCTTGTTATTATTAATCATTTTTATGTGTTTTTGTTTGTTTGAATATATAAATTTGAAACTAATAGTTGAATTTGTTGCTTTGAAGGAGTATCTTGAACGAATTCGTGGAGAGATGAGGGAAGAAATTTGTCAAGAAATCAGACAAGAAGTGCATCAAGAAATCCCTAAAGTTCTTGCTGACTATGGTATCAAGATTCCTCAAATTCAACAAAAGAATCTGAATCCTTGAAATGGTACATCTCTTTTGTTTTCTCTTTACAACTTTTTTTGCATAATTGGAGCTGTGATATCTGTTTCATAAAAGGCTTCTATCAAAAATAAAGAAAATAAATTTGGATTAAAAAAGATATGCATTAATTGTATTTGAAAGTCTTAAGATCATACAGTTTGTTTGATTGTGGCTTAATTGCATTGTCTTGATGTGTGTATATATATATATATATATATATATATATATATAATATATATATATATATTATATATCTATATATATATATATATATATATATATATAGAGGGCTGTAAACGAACCGAACGAACACGAACAAAGGCTTGTTCATGTTCGTTCATTTAAGTTAGCCGAACAATCGAACGAACACGAACGGATAAACGAACAAAGTTTTCTTGTTCATGTTCGTTTGTTTAACAAATTGTCTTGTTCATGTTCGTTCGTTTATGTTCGTGAACATGCTAAACGAACATAGACGAACGAACATAAATGAACAAAGATAAACAAACACAATTGAACATATATGAACATAAACGAACTATAATATAGTAATGTAATAAAAAAAACAATTGAAAATATATGAACATAAAAAAACTTAAACGAACGAACATAAACGAATGTAAACGAACAACATAAACGAACGTTAAATGAACGAACGAGACCATTGTTCATGTTCGTTCGTTTAACTAAACGAACGAGAATTTGTGTTCATGTTCGTTCATTTATTAAATAAACGAACATAAACGAACTTCCCGCCGAACAGTTCACGAACGGTTCGCCGAACGTTCAGTTCGTTTACAGCCCTATATATATATATATATATATATATATATATATATATATATATATATATATATATATATATATATATATATATATATATATATATATTATTTAGAATGAAGATGGAGAAACAAAGAGCATGGAATCTGTTTAGATCAAAGTTGGCTGCTGATGTTCTTGGTGGGGTTGACATTAAGTTTTGTAAATCACTGAATTAATGTCCCTTGAGGGGTAGAGAAATGAATCATTTCTTGGATAAATTTATATTAGGTTTGATATGTTTATCATTTTAGAACTTTTGACTTTTATATATTCTATGATTTTCATAGGTGAAAATTGTTATCTCATTTGAGATAGAACGTATAAAATATCACTAAAAGTGTATTTAGATATCTACAACATTATTTAACATTTAATTATATAAATATAGATTTTATTATTTTAAGATCGTGATATTTGTAATCACAGTTGATATATTAATCACCTACAAAATCTTAAAAATGGGGGTGAAGGTGTGGGTGGAGTGGATGTGAGGATTGGGGTAAGATGGTTGTGAGTGGGGTGTTGATGTGGGTGTGTGTATGGTTTATAGTTTAGAAAAAAATTAAAAAATAGAAAATAATTATCGCTTTTTTCAAGTTATATGTAATTTGGAAAATTGAGAACTTATATTTTCTTTTAAAAAATTATAAAAAATATTGAACCAAGTCATGTTTTCTAACTTTCCATTATTCTTAGAAAAGTTTTATAGAAAACTATAATTTTTTTCACAATCAGATACATCTTTAATTATTTTTATTTTTTTTAGAATTTTTGTTTTCTTATGAAAACTTTTACATTTTGCAAGACATTAAGGTTAAAGGGAAAAAAAGTTGGTAGGCCAAAGCCCACTCGCGATTTGCAAGTCCTTAGAGGGAATGGAGTAAAATTGAGGTGGAGCGTACGTTACATGTTTTACCACAATGAACACCACCTCCTCTCCATAGTTTGTACTGTGTGGTTTAATGAATGCGGCAAGAATTAGCCGTGCTCCCCTCTCTCCATCTCTCTCGTTTTTCTCTTTCTTCTTTTCATGGTATACCATTCCTAGTGTGTGGTATTGGAGTGTGGCAAAATGAGATGGAATGTGGTAATAATGACACCACACCCTCCAACCTTACTAGCAAGTAGCAACTATGGTGGTTATTTTTTGAACCGTAAATAAATTCTTTTTGGATGATATGTGGGCTCCAAATTTGATAAGTTTAGTAAATAACTTTTGAAAATACCCAACCCATCTATTTTATACAATTGTTCATTTTGACTTGTTATTAAATCCATACAATCAACCCAATGAACCCATTTTGCCATCTCATGATTTTTGTAAAACTTCCAACCCCACATGTACATGACCAATTAGACTATTAGAGTATCCACAATTCACGTTTCAATGCACGTTTAAAGAAAATTGAATGTATTGTATGTTGATGGTGTGGAAGTCAAATTAGTGGAGAGTTCAATGTCAGAATGAAAAAAAAAAAAAAAAAAGTAAGCCCAATTTATATAGTATTACAATAATTAAACTTTATAGAGTCAAATAGATTGTGAACGTTGATATAACAATTAAGCAAGTATAGGTGACAACCATGAGACATATCCAAAGCAAAAATTAATAAAAAACAAATCTAATTACTTGAAATGAAAAAGTATTTCATCTCCGGCAAAAACCACCATAAAACAAAAAATATAACATGAAAACATTAACTGTATTTCCACCTCATTTTTGATCTCCTAAGATTTTCCATGAATCCATAATCAGCCATGGTTTTCTTCTACGTATGCACACAAAATCATAAACCCTTAAACCCAAAAACACCCAAACAAAAACCAAAAAAAAAAAAATGAAGCTTTCCGATTAATCAGAATAAGAAAAGAATACACAAGAAACTAAAAAGAAAACTACAAAATATTTGGAACCTGAGAATCCAACCTGTGTTGCAACTCTTTGACCTTCACTGAAAGTTCAGACTTCTGTTCTTTATAATTCTGAAGCAAATAATCCTTCCCTTCAATCAACTCCTTCAACTCCCCCACTTCCCTTTTCAACATCTCCACTTTCTCCGATTCCATTCCGCTCTCAACCTCCAAATACCCGTTCTGATTCCCCACGCAAATATCCGCAATCGCTTTCCTCAGCCTCTGGATTTCCCTCTCCGATTCAAACAACTCCCTGTTTGCCGATTCCAGTTGCGATTGGAGATGGGCGGAATGGGAATGCTGGGAGCTTAACGAATTCCGGAGTTCCGCAATCTGGTCTTGCATTTCAAGTATCATATCGTCGCGCCGTTTCAACTGTTGTCGTAGTTTTTGGATTACGTCCCGTTTGCTGAAGATGTCGGAACCGGATTCCGACACGCAGGGGGAATCGGAGCTGTTTGAGTGGTGGAATGGCTTTGGTAATTCCAGTCTGTCGGGTGATGACGCCCACATTACGCCGTTTTCTTTGGTGTATAAGGGAGCTGAGACTGTTACTAATGGGAGTGCCATTGGAGGGTCTGTATGTAATTGGCCATTGTGTTGTGGTTTTACCTCTGCCTCATTTTCGGTTCCTGTTTAAAATAGCAATGTACTTTCATTTCTTTGTTGACAAATAGAATGATATATTTCTTTGTTAAGTTGTTTATTTATTTTTGATAAGTAAGCTAGAAGGAATGGTGGATTCCATGAATGAAGGAATCGGAATTGAATTCTGGAATCCACATACAAAAAGGCTTGCAAGGTCTTGTATCAAAACATAATTAAAATAAATGGAGCTGTAAAAATTCATACCAGAATTGCAATTGAAGCAACCATCATCCTGTTCAAAACAATACAAGTTTGAATGTGAATGTGAACGACAGTTTGACCTCTTTCTGCCTGTAAATTTCCCATTCTCTGCATTTAAAAAAAAATATACTGTGAAAATAAAAAACAATACAAGGTGAAGAACGAGTTATCACATTCCATGATCCTCTTTGGTTGGAATTGTCCATTCCATTACATGATGAAAAACAAACAATGGAATGGACAATTCCATTCTTTCATGGCTTACAATACCTTTTAACCCATTTCTGGTATTTTGAGGCTGCTTGGAGTCCAGGGCCTGTTTGAGCCTGTAGCCAAGACGAACTGATATTGTACTTAATAAAGCACCACCTGCTATGAGAATCCAGTTTGGCCCTTGACCCTGAAACTTTCTTTCCCTTTGTGCCCCCAACATGTCATTTGCATTTGGTTTCATCTTTAACTTTTACTCATATAAGGCATGTAAAGACTCGTTCATCCAGATATATAATAACCTGCATTCATGTTTCATCAATGTCAGTCAACATCCAAAGCATGTTATGTCAAATACTCATATGGATATCTTTTTATGTTTTTCATTGTTCAAATGAAAAACTAATAGAAATGGAAGAAAAGATATCATGCTTACATAAAATCTTTAGAACTGATTCTCTACTACAGTCATAAAAGAGAGACTTAACAATGGTTTTAAATCCTCCCACTTAACAATGCAAAATAATACCCTAAATCAAAGACAACAAACTATGATATTGAATTCGAATTCATCAAACTCCTTATGAGGTCAAATTCAATCAAATATGTAATACAAGTACAATCTTCAAATCAGCCATACGTCCATGAGAAAGGATAAATGTTTGTCACCGCAGAAGATACCAATCAAGCCTCAACTAAAACCAACAGAGAATATCCCTAAAAATCTACTTTCCATCAAAACGAAATCAAATACAACCTAGAATAAGAGCCTAATGTCGTAGGAACGAATCAAACGAACTTGAAGTTCAATCAATGAAAAAACGATCGAAGTACCTGAAGGAATCAAACGAAAAAATCACGTAAACAGCAAAAGTCTATGCTAATTGGGTAACTTGGCATACGAAGACTGAAATGAAAATTTCTGTTATGTTGATTAGAAATTAGGGTTTTGTGTGGAAATACAAAGAGGGATGTAAGTCACATACCTTTAAAAAGCAAAAGTGGAAGTATTGATGAAGACAAAAGTGAGCAAGACAGATAATAAATGCGTGAAGCGGACAAGCAATATGTAAAAGACATAGATACATTATAGAATAATGGCTTGAAGTTGTCAAAATTGAGAGAAACACACCTGATGATGAGAAAACCAGCTGGAGCTTCGATTATTGGGGGAATCAGTTTAGGTTAAGTATGGCGACGACCAACGGAAGACCGATCGGAGACCGGTGTAGAAGGGGGGAAAGAAGCGGCGGTGGCGGCGGAGGAGGACATTTTAACCCTATTGTAAAAGCCTTCAAATATAATGCAGATTATCGAGTATACTCCCAGTATTTGGTTGTAAAATATTTTTCTTTTTATAATTATTAAAATACTAAAGTTGATAAAGAAAAGCAAATAGTTTTTTATATAATTTACGATATCTATTCATTAATAAATTTAAAATTAAAATGATAAATACATTGCAAGTGCATTGATATCACTAATCACTAATAATTATAATATAAATTTTAAGGGAAATTAACAAAACTAACAATATTTTAAATTAATATTAAAGAAAATAATCATTCAAAAATAAGCAACAAATCTAAAATGAGTCATTCTGGACTGTTCAAAAAGTTCTTATGAAGAAAAAAAAAATGGACTGCAACTTTGGATTTTTGGATCTTTGAAAAAAAAAAATTTGAATTTTAAAAACAAATCAAAAATCCGATTAAAAATTATGGAATTTCAACAAAATACTTCAATTTTTATTAAAATCTAACAGTAAAAAATTAAAGAAGCATAGTAAAATGTAGTATATACAACACAAAAACTTAAAATCAAACATTTTTTTATTGAAAAACGGTAATATTAGACAGTTATTCTGACATTAATATAACTAATTTTTTGAAAACAATAATTGCAAAGAAAAGAACTTTGGAACTTCAAGATAAGTTTGAAATAAGACATTCCGGAGAAAATTGCTATTTATCAAAAACTAAAAAAAAGTTATTTTTGTTAATAAGTTTGTTCACGAGAGATTTTCTAACATGTGCCCTAAGGGCACACATAAGAAGCATTAATTAAACTATTAATTATGATGAATATTACCATAATTAAATATGAAATTTATTAATTATAGAAAATATTCTTCATAATTAATGCATTTACATTTAATTATGATAATATTTTCTATAATAAATAGTTTTTATATGTGCTCTTGGACACATATTAGAAAATCCCAAAAATAATTATTATATAGTTAAAATGATGAAATACATAACTTTTTTTTCTTGTATATCCACTAATATTAAATTGCCGTGAGAAATCTCATATTATAGTAACTTATTTTAATAATTGTACTTATATAGTTTTATCTTAAAACAGCATTAATATTGTTTAGAATTATTGACTAAAGCATATTTTATTTAATTACAAAAAAAAAAAGTTATAATGAATTGCATAGGTTTAAATGAAAAGTCACAATTTATATTGAATATGTGTAGTATAGGTTTAAATGTGAAATGGTTATATATTACTATATTTTTATGGTAATTGCATCATAATGCAACCATTATAATTTTTTTGTTATGTCAATATCATCCACCGAAATATTGGTTACAAAATCATAACAAACTGGAGAAAACACCACTAAACTAACCCATAACTTCAAAAGCGAAAAAACAAAATACTACTTTAAGGAAAACTTAAATTGTACTTATAAAAAATGGCAATAGAAAAATAAAAATAAAAGTCATAAAAACCATATATTCAATTAAGTTGTTAGATAAAATTTCTAAAACGTTTTTCTTTTTGCTATTATATATCACGAAATACAACAATTTTATACTTTCTTGGATTTTTACTTAAAAGATAACATATTCCATTGCTATTTTTATATATTCATGCAACCGATAAAGCAATCTGATTGGACCTAGATATGGTATACTACAATTTTTATGAGAACACCGATTTAAAACATGAAAAAAAAATATATAACACAAGTAAAATGCAAATAATGCATTATCCATGAGAAACACATTGCATTCAATAATAATAAAAAAAAAACAGAAAAAAGAAAAAGGAAAAAAGTGAAGAAGAGATCCATGTCTAAAGCCTAAACATACCCTACTTGTACTTTGATTCAAAACAAATGGGGTGTTTAATGACCCTTTTAACCCTACTCCCATCCCTACAAGTCTACAACATTACCTGCCCTATAAATTTAAATTATAATTAAAACAAAATCCTATCTTGGTATATATCCAAAGCCTCTATCACCTTCTTCACAAACAACTTCCTGTGCAACCTATACCTGCATCACAACCAGAAAAGGGCATTTACGTCTTTTGCACATATGAAATATATGAAAATGTCATTTCCGTCTTTTGCACAGATGAGATATCAAGAACCATTCCCCCGGGCGGAACAAAAAATAAAAATTTTGTCCTATTGACATCAGACAGACTCTGTCACAGTCACAGTCAGTCCAATGCAGACCAAACACAATACATACTTGATTGCAGCTTCACGTGTGCAGCTCATTTCCGGTGTAGAATCTAGTCAAAATTTTAGAAAATGATATAATTAACAAATAATCAAGAAAAGTAAATTTGCTATAAAATTATAAATTAAGTTACCTAGGATATGTTGATCTTGTTTTGAAGTAGTGGAATATTGTGAAAGAATTTGTTGACATTCTTGTTGAAGAGATTTTACAGCTTTTATCTCTTGACTTGGGATTGGAGGGGTATCCTTTTCAGACCATGTAGGCAGTGTTCTTGCAGCTGCTATAACAGCTCCATCCACAAAACTATTTTCTTCATTTCCTAATTTAGCTGACAAATAAATATTATCCAGCTTCAAAATTGATGTGGAATTATTAAATTTTTTATAGAAAATTAGAAATTGTACCATTATGGTAATAATCTTGGTGAGAACCGAATATGTTGAAGACTGATAAAAAGGAATCTAAATGGATCTTTGCATTTCCAGAGAATGGAAGCACATCCCAAGGATTCTGTAAATATTAAAAAAAAAAAAAAAAAAAAAAAAAAAAAACAAGATTGGAAATTTTATAAAATTAAGAATCAATTAATTATTTTGAGGGAACTTACATCGGGTGAAGAAAGGCCATATCTTTGCATAAGTGTTGTGTTCCTCTGGCCACTCATGTAATTCACTGTCATCTGAAAATAAATAAATAAAGGTTAAAATTTTTATAGTATTGTAGTTTCATTTCTTAAAATTATATTGATCATGATTTTTACCTCTTCCCCTTTTTTAATCCTTTGTCCAGCATTTGTCATCACCTCAAACATTCGGTCTCTGAATCTCCAATGAAAAAAGCAATTTGGCTTGCAAGAATGGTTCAACATATCTGCAAAAAAGGAACATACTTTTGATACTCTGTTTTGATGTAAAGGGTAAAAAAGGAATAAGAATAAAAAGGGTATACCTGCATAGGGAGCAAACATATTTGCATTTTGAATTAATGAACCAATTCTTATTCTGAAATTAATATGTCGTGTTTGTGCCATACTAACGGCCCAAACAAATCTTTCTGGATCTCGGGCAAGCCTTTTTACTTTCAAGGGCATGTTAGAGTGCTAACAACATATAAAAAAAAATTGCTACCATTAGAAATCAAGAAATACGATCAAGATAAGGAGGGTATTCACGTCTTTTGTGCAGACACTTTTTTGGGTGGGATCCATTGCCATTAGTCATGAATCATGATCACAATACAAGGTTGTCTTATCTTGTTTTGTTATGACTTATGCATAATGAATAAGGTATTAAAGGAATGAAAAAGTACCCAATTTTTTATCCAAAAATCTAAGACTCGTGATCTTTCTTTTCTCATGGTTGATGCAAGATTCTCATCATGTAGCTCCATGAGGTCATCCTGTAGTATGCCAATAGAACTAGTAAATGATATTTCAAATTTTGTGTCACAATAATCCGTAATGAGTGTTTGGGTAAAAAGATTATGATTGTGATTTAGGATCAAAAAAATTGTAATAAAAGTAACCAGTCAACATTAATAACTCAAATTGCAAAGAGTTAACCACTTGATTTTAAGATATTATATGTTGAAACTTGAAAGCATTTCCATATATACAAACCTCTGTAGCTAGAAGCAAGCTAGTACACTCTTCAGCACTAGGCAAAAAATCACCATAAAGTTGCCAGAAATTCTTGTCGTGATCAAATGCATATAGAAGAAGACACGCCAATCTCAGGTCCCAACCCGTCTGCCAAACAAATCAAAATCACCAAGTAAGAAAAAGTCATACAAGAAAATGAGAAATACAAAGAAACAAGGTGAAGACCTCTGGATTTGTTGAGTTGATAACGTCAAATATAGGATCCCCGATTGGTATGATATCTGGAAAAAACATCCATGGGGTTTTTTGACTTATAGTTAACATCAATTCCAGTGGGATTTCCATGACAACCTGAGAGATGAAGCAGAAACATGATCTTCATTTATCGAACAATTCAAGAGAGTTTGGACGAAGGAAAGAGCTACAATAAATGCAACATGACTCACCTTGGCACGTTTAGTAGGTTCAATGTCTTTCGAGGCATAAACTCCAAATCCGTCTGGACCTTCCCTGAATTCCACCCCATAAGCTCGCATGCTTCTAACGAATCCCATTTTATAAAATTCAGGGTCTGCGAGCTCCAACTGTTTGATAAAAATGTATGTAAGTTGATCAATGTAGAACAGAATATCAATTCTTTATTCCTACACAAAGGGGGCGAAACTCAAATATAGATAAAAAAAACCATTGTTGGACCTTAGAAGCAGGTGTGACTTCTTGTTGAGAATCGGTTTGAAAGAAGGGGAAAGCAGTAGGAGAAGTAGCAGTCTCAATAGTATCAAACGCAGCTCTAGCTCTAATGCCTCCAATTCTCCTACTACAGGTACATTTCTGCATCAAATTGGGTTTTGTTGCCGCCAATCCATGCTTCAAATTCTTCCCTAACTGCTTCAATTCCGACAAAATGAACCCAGTTAACGTTATTGACACGTACATAGATAAAAATGGAGGGAGAGAAAGAGGGAGAGTGGGCACCTGGTAGTTGTAGATGAAGCAATTAATGGATTGCTGAAGAAGAATCGAGGAAACCATTGTTTATTAAGATGTGCTGAATTCAGATTTCAGTGATGAATTGTTGTTGCTTCCATTTTTGGTTCGAATTTCTTGCTGCAAGAAGGGGGGGGAGCTGAGGAGAAACTATTTGAAAGGCCAAAGCATGAACGCGTTATCCTTAACCAAATATTGGAGGAATTTCAGTTAGATCCCCAGAGTATTGCCAAATTTTGAATGTATCACATTAGTTTGGAATAATTGTTATCCGACACCTAAGGAAGTAAGGATGATAAGAAGGGCCCTATAAAATATAAATACGCTATATATGGGCTTTTAAAGTATATTTCTTATACCAATAGACCTATAAAATTGTGAGTCCATTTATAAATTAGTCGAATACCATCTGTTTTAGGGCCTAAATGGTTTAATAAATAGATAAATAAATAAATATTGGAATAGAAGGTAGGCCGATATGACTCGATCTGATCATCTTAAATATTTTGTCTGAAGGTCAAGTAGATGCTGCTATTGCTCGTGTCCCCCACTAAAAAACATCTTGGATACACCTCATATGTTTTATTTTTCAACATCAAACCACCCACGGTTGAAACATATATGATTCGAACTTGAGTCAACTCTATTTTAATGTATTTTATACCAATTATCACTTATGAGCAACAAATTTGGATGAAACTTCATTTCTAATGTGATACTTGATAATCTTCTCTAGTGTGCCTTCTTTTTAAAGCACAATAGCTTCATAATATATTTGAAGCTACAAAATGATCAATTTTACTATAAAACTAAAAGGTAGAATGGTAGAATTTATTCTAGAACGGGAAATGTACCATGGTTTTATATTTAAAGCTACAAAAAATTTATAGTGGTTATTACATGTTTCACTATGGAACTTACATAATTAATTTCATGTTTTTAAATAGCCTTTATTAGTGTTTTTGCTCAATTTCTTGTTTAATTTATCCACTAATATTCTATAAAATCTCAAACTAAAACTTCCGATTTCCAAATCTACATGGCCCTTAGTAAAATTCTTATCAAGTTAAAAGTTGAAAACCAATTCGTTTTGACTTGTAGAAGTCAAAGGTGGACTCAATTTGGGAAGCTTTAAGCCTATAAGTATATGTTTGTTGTTGGTGATTTATTTTACTAATAGTATTTAAGTGTAATGGATTACATTGTTGACCAAAATAATCTTGATAAACATTAAACAAGTAAGGGAGATACGGAGTGCATACTTGTTTAAGTTTGTTTAAGATTCAAAGTACATTGTTATTTAGGAGCGAAGCCCCTGGAAGCAGGGTCCAAGGGGTGGCAACCCCTGGCAGGGTCGAAGGGGCCCCTGGCTAGGGTCGAGATTGAAAATTTTTTATTTGGGTTGTAATGCTATGTTAAAAATGCATTAGAAATCCAAATTCTTAAAAAATTGACCCGATTTTGACTTTGGTTTGACTCTTATTGAAAATCCGTTTTTTGTGACAGTTTATGATTGTTGGGAACTGTTTTGTGACAGTTTTGAGACATCAAAATGTTTTCAGACAAGGAGTTTTTTTTTTTAAAAGCAAGAAAGTTATTATTATAGAAATTAAGCTAGCGATTGGCTAGAAGAAAGTTGCAAGCATACCCGAGACGGGTTAGTACACCAATCAAGCCATTTGATTTGATTACCTTTTTCTAAGAAGGGTTAATAATCAGTTTTGGTCATCATTCTTGGTACACTAACGAAAATTATATCAATTTCATTCTCTGTTCTTGTTTCTCTCATTCTAAGTCTTATCCAATTGTTGATTTTGGAAGTACCACCGAAATACTTCAATTTGAAAGTGACTACACAATTCCTAGAATTCTAAAATGCTATTACATTCCAAAAATTAGCATTCATCTCACACCTGGTTTAATACATTCTTCATTCTCTGTTCTTGTTATATGTGTATATGTTAGGGAAGAAAATGGGGCAGGGTTAACCATCCATGTCCCCATCCCCGAGTGTCTAACCTCGTCCCCATCCCCATCCCCATCCCCATCCCCGACGGATGCGGGGAATCAAATCCCCTCCCATTTATATTTTGTGCTTTTCCCCGGCTCATCACCGGCCCATCCCTAACCATCATCAATCTATCAACATAATAAACTCAACTTACACAAAAAAAAACAAGGTTAATAAGCGATCAAAACCAGATGCCATAATAAAATTATGTTTGCATCAATCATAAAGTTTAACAAGCATCAAAACGAAAAGTGACGATTGACGAACTCTTGGAATTGGGAACATTATTTGATATACACACTCTATCTTTGATGGTCTAATATAGATCAATTCATTTTAGTGGACTTAATTTGTAACACCCGGTTCCTGTTACGTATTTAAATTTAAGTAATGTTTTAATTTACTCTGGGACTCGGCGAGTTGGAGGCCCAACTCGTCGAGTAGACTCGACCTTATGTGAGAGTTTTAATGATCTACTCGATGAGCCGAGAGACCGGCTCGGCGAGTAGGAGCTGTCT